CGGACATGGCTAGATCGACTCTACTAGTGATGCTGATCAAGAATATATATACTTTATAGGGTCGGAAACGTCTCCTTCACTGCGTTGCAAACTTCTGACTGAAATTATAATACCCTCTGCAAGGGTATAAATATAAGGGTACTTCAAAATACACCTACCTACAGCAAATGTATCATTTGGGTATAAAATAAAGTTAAAATTTGCGTATTTATTTTCTTTCGTTCATTTAAACCAACATGTGCCCAGTGGCTAGGTTTTAAGTTTATTAATTTGTGTATTAAATACAAAAAACCAAAGTAAATAATTTGTATTGGCAAAGGGTATTTCAAAAACACAACCGAAATAATAAAAAGAAATATATATATTTTAGTGTTAGGAATAAGCTTTTATTTCGTTAATTTATTTATGTTAATTGAAGAACTAATTTGCAATGATATAACGTGCTAAATCCTATTAATGAAAACTTCTAATGAACAGACAACTGATTAATAGCAATTAGAACAAGAAAGAAAGCAAACTTCGGCAAGCCGAAGTTCATATACCCTTGCAGCTATTGCAAGAATTAAACATTTTTGAAAACATTAAAATTATAATTTACTTGCGTATAAGTTTAAAAACATTGAAGCTATGATGATTTGCAGCTCAATTATTTGATAGTTATTTTATATATTTTTATTGTTCCTATGGGAGCTATATGATATAGTCGTCCGACTTTAATGAAACTTAAACCGTAAATCGAAAATATTTAACCATTACTAAATGTCGAAGAACTAAACAAAAAATTAAAAAACAGAAAAGTTATAATTTTTTTTCATTTATTTTTCCGATTGTTCCTATGGGAGCTATATGCTATAGTCGTCCGATTTTGATGAAATTTTTACCATAATTCTGAAATATTTAACCATTGCTATATGTCGAAGAACTAAACAAAAAATTAAAAAACAGCAAAGTTATAATTTTTTTTCAATTATTTTTCCGATTGTTCCTATGGGAGCTATATGCTATAGTCGTCCGATCCGGCTCGTTCCGACTTATATACTACCTGCAATAGAAAGACAACTTTTGGGAAAGTTTCATGCAGATAGCTTTAAAACTGAGAGACTAGTTTGCATATAAACGGACGGACAGACGGACAGACGGACATGGCTAGATCGACTCGCCTAGTGATGCTGATCAAGAATATATATACTTTATAGGGTCGGAGATGTCTCCTTCACTGCGTTGCAAACTTCTGACTGAAATTATAATACCCTCTGCAAGGGTATAAAAAGGGTGGGAAATGTTAAAGTTTAAATGAAGTTGCTGGGTATCAAACAGAGAAAAGATTTGGAGAAAATAAACAAATAGGAAAATCTTAACAGTTTTAAGATCGACAAATGTTTAACAAAATTGTTGAATGCTATTAAATTGTAAACAACAAAAATATTGATATTACTTTAAACACCGTTGTACATGGTTAAATAATATATAAATAAATTATATATATTTATTTTATTATTTAACATGAGTAACCTTAAAGTCAAAGGCAAAAGAATTGCCTAAAAGAAAAAGGAACCGCCTTAACCTGTTGCAATTCCCGAAAGTTTTATTTAGAGCCGAGACATTTTATAATTTCACTGCCAAAAGTATTCATTGATTAATCCAACAGCTATAGGTATTTGCAAATTAATTGATTGCCGAATAGGCCCGAAACTAATGACAGGCGGTAGAAAAAAACCCAGGCAAACATGTTTCTGGCCAAAATTGATGCCGCCAGTGATGATGAGGTGCCGTTTAATGAGATTCGCTAGGCCCACCCATTCAATACTTTTCGCAGACATGTATGTATCGCATCAGCTTAGAGCTAACTCATGAAGATGTTATGTTGGGTATATTTAGATATTTGCTAATCCATGGTGAATGCCCAATGCCCAGTCGTCAACCAGGGTCACCGCCGGCCCAGTCAAGTTCAATGCCAAAGAAGACTCTTTGTCGAATGTAAACCATGGTTTCTGTTTCTGTTTCGGATTTGGTTTTGGATTTGGTTTCAGATTCGGTGTCGGTGTCGGTGTCGGTACCTGGCCCGCCGCTGCGTTCGTTCGTTCTAATTTGAATAAATTTTAGGTCAGATCGCAAGACTCCATAGGCGCAGAGATCGAGAGCTTTGGTTATATGTTATATGCGGCATTTGCATTTGCATAAACGGCCAACGGCCAACGGCGACGTCGACAGAGGCGGCAGACCATTGGACGGACACAACCGGAGCATATTTAAGACAAGTGGAGCGGCCCAAAATGCAATCATTGCCTCGCAGCAATTCGTCAACGAAGCAACCAAACAAACGCAACCAAGGATTATTCACCAGCAGAGGATTACGTACAGCCAGCCAATCATGTTCATCCAACAAGTGCTAGTCAGCTGCCTGATCCTGGTGGCTCTGACCCAGGCTCGTCCCCAGTACGGCTACGAGCAGCCCAGTTCGGACATCTTCATCGGTGGCGGATCCTCGCCAGCCGGCAGCAGCAGCAGCAGCATCGGTGGTGGTGGCATCGGTGGCGGTCTGGTCAGTATCCAGCCACATCGCGGTGGCGACAAGTACCTGCCCCCGGCCAGCACCACCCAGGCTCCGATTATCAACAAGAAATTCTATCTGGTTTCGGCGCCCGAGGATCACAGCAACGATGGCAAGGTGAAGCATCTGGTGCTGGGACGTCCGCAGAAGAACTACCGGGTGGTGTTCATCAAGGCGCCGGCCGGCGACAATGCCAATGTGAAGTATTCGGCCGAATTTGCTCCGCAGGAGGAGAAGACCGTCATCTATGTGCTGAGCAAGAAGGATAACGATGTGGATGCCAGCGATATTGCCACGCCGGCGCCCACGCAGCCCAGCAAGCCGGAGGTCTTCTTCATCAAGTACAAGACCGACGACGAGGCCAAGCAGGCGCAGCAGGAGATCCAGGGACAGTATGACAAGCTGGGCGGCACCAACGAGTACCAGGAGGACAACAATGCACCCATCACCTCGGTGATCGGCAGCCTGGATGGCCTGAATCCCGATGGCAGCTACAACTACCGCCAGATTGCCAATCGCCCAGCGGCAGTGGCGCCCAGTGCCCAGTATCTGCCTAGTTTGCTGAAGCACTAGAGGATTGGGAGCACCACTATGGTATCACCCTATCACCATATCACCCTCAAACAAAAACCCCCTGTTGTGTTGCATATTTTTAAGAAATCACTCAATATTTTTTTGCATTTTTTTTTTTTTATATCGAAATGTTGTTAATAAAAAGCTTACATTAAAAAAAAAATATCAAGCAGTGTGTTTATATTCGAAGGGTTCCTGGTGAAATCACAGATTCTACAGCCCAATAACATTTGATTTGGAAAACCATATTACAACGAAGCTATTATGGTGTAATAATAACAATATTGTTATTAATATTATGCATTTTTTTTTTACAAAGAAAAAGCGAAGGTAAGTCAGGAACCAGTAAGGTTGCTTAATTTTTTTCTCATTTCATAATACCCAAACAAACATGCGTAAAAACAAGAATGAAAGAAGTTTTTACCCTGTTGCTTTGTGCACTCTGCCTTAAGGTCAGTCGTTTAAAAAATTAATAAAAATCGTATAAATAAATTGAAATGTCTCTTCGGCGCAATTAAATTAAAATCGAAATCCAAATCCAAATCAAAGTCAAAGTCAAAAATAAATCGAAGCAGAAACATTTCGGCTTTGTTTTTCCCGATATTCAAATCAGCAGTCACATTTCAATATGTCCAAATCCAAATCGGAATCCAAATCGATGCCACACAACACAACGCAGCCAAAGCTGCCGTCAAAATTTCCAACAGAAATTAGCTTAAATGAAGTGAGAAATCAAAATAAGCTCATCAAATTTAATTAAATAGTAGAGTTTTATATATTTTGGCTTTAGCTTTTTCCTCTTTTTGTTGGTTTGATTGGGCCATTAAACTGACGCTGCATAAACTCGGGCCAAAGATCGCTTGATTAATGTTGAATCAGAGCTAATGGCACCCAAAAGATACTCCACTAATCGTGAAATTGAACCGAGGAAATAAAACAAAGAAGTACAAACCGATTTGGACCTGAGTGAAGTTATCTCTTCTTTATTGGCATTTTATATTAATTTATATTTAATTGCAACAATAAATAATTGTGGGAGAAAACGGAAAACGGCAAGTGAGGGGCAAATATAAAATTCCACACTTATGGGGGTATTATATTTTTAAATATTAAAAAAAAATAAGACACATATTAAACATATTTATATTCCAATCTGTAGAAAGTGCAGATGAACGAGGATTTATGTCTGATTTCTTGAGTTGTTAAAAAAATCATGTAATTACAGTATATTAAACATGTGAATTTTTAAGGAATTATTAACAGATTTCGATTTCCTTGAAAAACTATCATAATATTAAAGGTATTTTAATTCTAATCTTGTTTAGCAAAATAACTTTCTTTTATTATGCTAAACAAAGGACAAATATATAAAAATGTATATTTTATAAGCACTTCACATTTTCTCATTACTTTTATTTTGACCGCAACCAAAAGAAATTTTTGATTTGTCTTGTTAAATAAAACAAAATCCCATTTATAAAATTATTTTAATATAATACTGACATGTCATCGATATTGCAACTTTTGATTTAAGCCGTGATTTTTTGTCGGTACCTTCAACCCAACAATACAAATTGGAAATAAAATAACAATTTACAAGTTATGAAACACGTATAATTTTAACAAAACAAAATTATGTAGTCCTAGCCTAATCAAAACGCCCAATTGCCCAACACAACCAATTAATCTTGTAAAATTACTCCTTCTATCACACCATAATCGTTTGACCTCCCTCAAAGTCTTCTAGATATGACCCAAGTTATAAACAACCTACAAGTAACATCTTCATTGGAGCACAAATAAAGCATCTTATCCATGCACAGCATATGGCCAAACAATTTTTCTTAATAAAACCGAGCATAAATCAAATTAGCTGTACCATTTTGCTTAAATGCGACATGAAAGTGTGGGAATTACGCGTCAATTTATGCAAATCCTATGCACACAACAAACAATACACACACACACACGATCGAACCAGTTGCCAATACCGCAGCCATTGTTGATATTTTAATTGTCTCTTGTTGACAACAACGAGCCGAAAACGAGAAAAAGAGCTCAAATTAATCTACTAATCAGCGACGAGGCTGCGAACCAAATACAAATAACTGAAACTGAAATCGGAATCGGAATCGGCATCGGAATTGGCCAAAAGATGCAGATGGTAACAGAGCACGAGTTGGCCAAGATCATTAGTCAACGGTGAGGGCGTTGGATGCTGCGCCCCGGCGATAGGCAGCACTTCTTCATCCATTCCGCCCAAAAATTCAAATTCAAGTCGAAAATCAAAATCAAAATCCAAGTCCCACCCGATGATAAATGGTCTGCAAATCGGTGGGATGTGAGAAGAGCATAACGAAAAGGTATGTCAAAACCGAAGCTAATCGGGGCAGAGGGAACATCAAACATTAATTAATTGTTTTTAGATTAAGTAAGGGGATTTTTTGGAGTAATCGAGTCTTCTAGTGATTTCTCAAGGCTGTTCAAGGCCATGAACTTGGTGGTGAAAAGAACGAATAGGGGAAAATCTAAGCATTTATAATTAAGTGTAAAGAAAACTATTAAAGTTTTAATTTGATTTTGGTAAATAAAACTAAAATAAATATTAACTAAATTACACTTACATAATTTTAAAGAAGCTTACAGCTATTATCTTAACTGAATACTAAATTAAATAAATGTACATTCAAAAAGCTTGTTTAGTTTTTGTACCAAAGCATAATGAAAATATGTTGATTATGAAATGCTGAGACCCTGAGAGCACATAACAATTCGGCAGCTTCTTTCTGTTCCCGCATTTTCACGCACAATTAATTTTTTGACCCAGCGCAAGTTCGTTGCCCAAGTCTTTTGTTTTGGCAGCTCTTAATGGAGCGATTTGTGGTCGGAAAAGTGTGTTAAATAGCTAATTTTCACAAATTTTTTGGTCCAATCAGGCTGTGCGATCTAAGTAGATCTCTTTTAAAAGTGAAGCTGAGATGGAAAAACCGAATCAGTTGTCTTCTGAAATTCGCGAAATGCTGAACATAGTTGTGTGGTTTACCCTGTCGTTGATAACTCTGTCCTGGGCTCAAGGATCGCGTTCCTATCTCCCCCCACCAGCACCATCGAGTCCAGCCATGGAGCCCATCATAACCAAACAGTTCTATAGCATCTCACCAGCCGAAGATCCCGAGGATTCAGAGCCCAAAACAAGACACTTGGTCATCGGACAGCCGCGCAGAAATTACCGAGTGATTTTTATTCGAGCGCCGGGAGCAAATAGTCAGCCTGTGAAGTACACGGCGGAGTTGGCGCCCCAGGAAGAGCGAACTGTGATCTATGTTTTGACCCGCAAGCAACAGGAACTGGAGGCCACGGACATTGTGGCGCCGCAGGAAAAACCGCAGGCCGAACAGAAGCCGGATGTGTTCTTTATCAAATACAAAACGAACGACGAAGCGGCGGCTGCTCAAAAGGAAATCCAAACGCAGTACGATCAACTTGGCGGAAATACGGAAATTTCTGCACCCTATGTGGCACCCATTAAATCGGTGGTTGGGGCTCTAAGTAGCCCTCAATATCTAGCAGCTACTTACCAAGTTCCAGCCCAATCGACTGGATATCACTACGATAGACCCATCTCTACAGTTTTGGCGCCAGCGGAACGATATTTCTAAAGCTCCGATTATATCCGCCACTGCTCGTTGAATATTCCATGCTATTTGCATCTAATTGATAAGCCATTTCCACAAACGTATTTATCACAAATCTTGGCGAACGCGTAAATAAAAATGGTTTCTTTTACTAGGTTTTTTTGTTGTACATAATTTTTGCAAGTTTTTTTTTTTATCTGATTTGCGATTTATGTATAAAGATATTGGCAAAAGTGCTTTGACCCTGTGACAAAAGAGAAGAATTCAAAGAGGTTTTGCAAACGGCGTATTGGTTGTCTATACTAAAGCGAAATTTCTAGATTCAATTTTTAGAACAAAATTAAAAATATGTTCAAAATATTTCCAGAGTAAATTGTTTTGTTCAATATACAAAATATTGTTAAATATATAATTGAGTTTAAAGAATAATATATACAACAGAATGTATACAAAAAATGAAGTTTAAAAGCAAACAAGAATTTGTAATAAAAAGCCACATGTCTTTATTTGTAAAATAAAATTAAAGCTTTAAAAGATAAAAAATGTACATTTTCTTTTTATAAATAAAAGTATGTATATACTGCGACTTTTAAAATTCAAAATTCACAGTAGTTTCTGAGAAGCAGGGGCTTCAAACTTTCGTCTAAAATGGATAGTTTGCCAAAATCGAAAAATTCGAATAAATTTTGCAAGTCGCAACCGAAAAAAGAAACCGCAAAACGGCAATGCAGTTTTTTTTATGATGTGTCTCCACTTTGGCTTGGCTTGTTTATCTTCTTTTGGATTTATTTGCATTTGCATTTAATTAATGGGATTTTCGAAGCAAATTTTGGGCATCAACTGGGCGACCTTTTTTTGATTGGCAGCAGCAACAATTTGGCAGCAATTAATCTTTGTGGCTGGGGAAAAAATTAAACAAACCAAGGTCGTGGCGAAAAGTTGGAAATTAAAAAGTGCGATTCTAGGTCTCAAACTGTGCCTTTCCACACCTTTGTTTTTATCTCTCTAATATTTCCATTTCCAAGGTGGCCAAAATATATAAATAAATCACACATTGGTTTTGGCCAAAAGCGCAAACACAGACAATAGCCCTAAAACGGCCCTGCCCAAAACGCATTCAAATTATGGCAATTATATTGAAATTTTTCATCAACAAAACAGAAGAAACACTCGTCCGACGATTTGTGGTTTTGGAATTTCTGCTTTTAGCCTCTTTAACTAAAAATAGCCCATGACATAACACAATCTATGCATATTTTCGGATACCCTTTGTTGGGTGCATAAAAATCGATGAAAAAACACCAAATACTGTCAATAAATGTTATTAAATTATACAGCTGATAGATAAATAAATATTAAAATAATATAAGTGCCTAGGGTATTTCCTGTTTCGTTATTTTTTTTTTCTTGAGGCAATTTAAATCCTTTTCGGCGCTTTGTTTGCCATGCCGCCAACGTATCAAAACTAATGATATAATTTATGGTCTAACAAAGATTTGTCAAAGATCCGAAGATCAAAGCGGAAATTTTAAACAAAGTCCAACAATAATTGAAATGCCATTGCAACAACAGAAAACCAACAAGTTTTATTTAAAAGACGCATAGCTCCAAACACACAAAAATGGGATTAGTTTAAAATGCAAATTATATGTGAAAGTGTAATATAAAATACATAATATGCTTATGATCTCAAAGACATGAATTGGAATTTTTAAATTTGATTTTAAAATGCAAGAGTATACAAAGAATTCATACTTTTATGCCCAGCTTAAAATCAATGCCAATAAATTGCTGCGCCTGTGGCTCAAAAATAATAATGCTTTTAGTGATGCTATTTAATTCCGCCAACATAATTAAGCTCTTGTTAACAATGGCTTAATACGTCACACTAAAGTCCCATGGCGGAAGCAGGTTCTATTCCAAGAACCAAACACAAAAACTACAAGAAAAAAATAAAGAAAAAATCACCGGCGAAAAGAAAGGAACCATATAAAAAAAAAAACCAACAAGTTCTTTAAGGCATTTGTTTGCCCAACAAAGACAGCAAACAAATTGCGTCCATCAATCAAGATGAGTAAAGCTATAATTTGATATGTGAACACCTGTGTGTGAGTGTATTTTCTTTAAATGGTTGCAAAAACCATAAAAAGATAATAGCTTAAAGAAAATAAAAGCACTGCAATGAAAGTTTTTTTTTTAATTATAATAATAATTATTTGGTAATTTTGAAAACAGAGTTAGATTATAAAATTGAGTTCTTGGAGTTTAATGGATATTAAAAACTGAACATTTTGTTTGTAATATATTGTTGTTTTGTTTTTGAGCTCTTTATTTATTGACAGCTTTGACAATATCATATTAATATTCAAACTGTCTCTGATCGGCAAACACTTGCTGCTACTCACAGGAGCATCTGTATACATATTTCAAAACCTGTACCTGAGTCTTCTATACAGGATGTCCAATAATCTCAAGCGATATCGAGCCTAAGAATCAAGATTCTTCCTTTTCACAGAAAAAGATTGCTAATGAAAAGCACTCTCCGGCAGCGCAAGAAGGATAAAAATATTGTGGCGGAGGTGAGTGAAAAATAAGGATCTTCGAAATTTCTGGCTTTAATATGTTTAGTGTGTTATTTCAGCCATTGGAACAGTTAGACTCGGAAAATGCTCTGGATCGTGAAATATAACTTTCGGTTCTGCGTAGCATAAACATAAAGTTTTTGGATTTCGGAGTTTTATACGACAACAGATCCACTGTATATTCTATAGATATATTTACGAAACGACGAAAATTAATGGAGTAGGAGAGCTCTTGGATCTTCTCGTCGAGTACGTTTTGCCGGTGTGTATTCTCTGGTCTGCTATTTAAATTGACTGTTTTTGTTTCAATTAGAATCGTCCAAGCAGTCAGTGTTCCCGTGAAGGCTGAAAACAAGCTGCTCCGGTTAAGATAATATTACCGATGCACAAAGTCGAGGACCTGGAAAGGTACCACAATCAACTGTGGCAGTGCACTGTAGAATTACTCGACAAGGGTTCACTCCTTACCAAACTTGTTGTTCGTGGCCTCTTGAAGTTCTGGCCAAAAACATGCACCATGAAGGAGGTTCTATTCCTAGACAAAATCAACGATATTATGCTGGAGATTGATCAGTAGAAGTTTGTCAAAATCCAATCCGTTTTTCCGCCAGATTGCCAAATGCGTGTCGAGCCCAAATATTCAGGTAAGAGTCGGCCTTTCCTTCTTCGCAACGATAACTTAAACTTATTAAAAATGTAAAAAAAAAAAACGCAGTATGCTCTATATTTTTATATAGTATATAACGTGTATTAAAAAATAAATTGCACAAAAATGGTCTTAAAATTCCACCTTGACCGATTATTTTGATAAAATCAAACCTTTTTTTGTACACAATATTTTTAATAGAAAAAAAAATGGAAATATTTTTGTGAACAAATGTTTAAACAAAAATAGAAAACCGAGACAATTGAGTAAAATGTATTTCGTAACGTACCCTTAAGAACCAACATGATAGAGAATTAAAGCTGTACACTTTCAATAGCTACAAACGCGCTTGACTTCCCAATGCTGATCAAATTAAGTCATAAACACGTTCCTACATATCGCCATACTTGATAGACCGCAAAAGAGCAATCAATCAAGCGAGGATTTTATGCAAAATTTTGCATACAACTTGAAAATGGAGGGTAGACAATCACGAAACAATGCGACAAAACGGACAAAAATGCAACCGAATTTCGTGTGGTGTGTGTTGTTGGTTTGGAATTGAAATCAAAATGGATAATGATATTGATCCACCTGCGATGAACTTCGTCGACCGGCAAATAGTCAAATATATATTCGACTATTCGACTATGATTTATGATCGCCCCGAAAAGAAACAAAACGAACATCGATGGACAACAGGTCACATTAAAGGAAGCGCGAAAGAGACGGCAACTCTGCGTGCGACAGAGAGGGTCTGACAAACAAGTCAAATGTCAGAGGTTCGGGGCATAGTCAAATAATTGAGCAATTAATTAAACCGGCGAGGAGAAAAAAAATTATAGAAAAATGGTAAGAAGCGGAGGAACCAATATTCGGGCTATAAAAGGCCACAAATCATCAAGGGAGAGCATCATTAAGCAAACAACTGAAAACCACTCAACATGCGTCTATTTGTGGTAAGCTAACTGGAGGATTAACCACAGGATTAACCAGAGGATTATAAATACAATTTTTTTTTGTTTTTTTTTTTCTGTTCCTAGACTCTTTGCACTCTGGTGGCTCTCAGCCAGGCCAAGCCCCAGGGCTACAACTATGGCAGTGGAGTCTCTGGCTCCCTGACCACCTCCACCTCCAGTGGAGGCAGCAGTGGTGGCGGTTTCTTGGCCGCACCTAGCCACTCCTCGGTGGCTTCCTATGGTCCGCTGGGTGCATTCCAGACCGCCAGCGTTGGCTCCCTGGTGGGCAGTTCCTCTGCGCCCCAGGCTGTCAGCCACTATGGCGGCCAAGGAGCCACCTACTCAACGGGCGGTGGTCATGGAGCCACCTACTCAACTGGCGGTCAGGGAGCCACCTACTCAACGGGCGGTGGTCATGGAGCCACCTACTCAACTGGCGGTGGTCAGGGAGCCACCTACTCAACTGGCGGTCAGGGAGCCTCCAACTACGGCGGCTCCAGCTCCGGCAGCTCCTTCACCGGCTTTGGACCCTCGCCCAACATTGGATTTGGCGTTCTGGCCGGCTATCAGGCACCCAGCTACCAGCAGCAGCAGGAACAGGAGGTCCAGCGTGGCTTCCAGGAGCCCATCATCCACAAGCAGTTCTTCACCGTCGCCGCACCCGAAGAGCATGAGAATCTGGAGCGTTCCAAGCATCTGGTGATTGGACGTCCCCAGAAGAACTACCGTGTGGTCTTCATCAAGGCCCCATCCTCGAGCAATGCCAATGTCAAGCTCTCCGCCGAATATGCGCCCAAGGAGGAGAAGACCGTCATCTATGTGCTCAGCAAGAAGGACAACCAGCTGGAGGTCAACGACATTGCCACGCCCGCACCCACGGTGCCCAGCAAGCCGGAGGTCTTCTTCATCAAGTACAAGACCGATGCGGAGGCCTCTCATGCCCAGCAGCAGATTCAGGGTGAGTAAGCCCCAAGATGACATGAATGAATTCCATACTAATCCTTCGTCTCCCACAGCCGAATACGACAGGATCGAGGGCACCTCGGAGCACCAGGATGGCGGAGTGGCCCCTGCTCAGTCGGTGGTTGGCATCTTGGATGGTGGTGCTATTGGCGCCGCCAGCACTGGCAGCTCTCAGTTCGTTTCCGGAGGCACTGGCTCCACTGGCGGCAGCTCTCACTTCGTCTCCGGCTCCACTGGCTCCACTGGCGGCAGCTACACCTCGACTTCCGGTGGCAGCTCCGGCGGAATCTCTGGCGGACACACCGGAGGAGTCATTTCCGGCGGCACCATCATCAAGAACGCCCAGAGTGCCACCTATCTGCCACCCAACGGCAAATAGATGATCACTCGCGTGGACTCATAGCAACAATTTTTATGTACAGTGATGCAATAGTCAATGGTTTTTTTTTTTTTTGAAAGCATTAATAAATTTTTAACGAAATAGAAGAATATAAATGAAGATTACTTTTAATTCAGCGGAAATTGAACTATGGACAGACATCTAACAAAAATCTTCCAAAGCATACGCAATTATATATTGCCTAAAAATATAAATAGATCACCTAAGGTTTCCTTTAATGCAGTCTGATTTTTCTATACTATTCAAAAGGTAAATGATCTCTAAACTCGAAACCCTGGGTTTTTACAAACAACCGTCAACTAAGCACATTAAGACCCAAAGAAAAAAGAATTCAAAAAAATGTTTGTTTGGGTCCTAAGCTCATTTGTGACAAATAAAATTTAAACTCTTTTTATGATATTTTAAACATGTACAAATGTAGTTTTGGTCTCAATACTTATACAATGCACTTAAAGATTTGGCACATTGAATGATTTTATTAAATAATTATTGTGTGCAATAAAATAAAACTACAAAATTTCTAAAGAATATTGTTGGCAATAAGTAATTTATTCATTCTTAATAACTGTATTAGTTTTATATCAAGTTTAATCAAGGAATATAAGGATATTGATAATCTTATGCTAAAACAACCAAGTATCCCACAATTAACCGTATATTTCGAATACAAAATTTAAGACTTTGTCATAATCGATCTATTTAATATGACAGTCCTGCAGCCATTTTATATTAGCATTAAAACCTATTTATAATAAAAAAGGTAAGCTTCTTTTATGTTTCTAAATTACAAAAGGATGTGATGTACATATCAGCAAAGCTATATATAGCTATAATAATATCTTAAAAGAGTTCTTTAAATTTTTGTCAATTTCAGTCACATTTTAAACGAGGAGCCTTAAAGTATGTTATACATTTTATGTACAAGTTCAAAGAATGTATAAAAATCGTATATTTAGATTATTTTCTTCCAGAACCTAGCGTTTTAAACATTTTGAAATGACATAAGCCCAAATAATAAGATGCATCATCTTCAAAAAAACTTTAAAGCGGAGGGGATATATTTACAAAGCTCTAAAATTGTGCTATAATTTGAGTTTTTCTGTTGCATTATAACCACCAAAACTAAAGATAACCAATCGAAGTACTCACCCACAGCATTGATGGCTCGTTTCAGGAGCAGATCCGACTGGCTCTTGTCCAGGGAATCGATCTCACGGCAACTCCGATACAGACTGCTCACCGTGGACTCCACGGAATAGGCACCCTCGCCAGAATTTGGCAGCATTGAAATAAATCGGTTCAGTTCATTGAGTTCTGCGAAATGTAAATGTAAAATAAATAATACCGATTATATATAAATAAACCGCAGCTCACCCTGATACTCATTGTACGTCTCGTAGTTCCACTCGCCGCGTTTGATCACAAAGTAGTCGTGATTGGCATAGTCGCTGGCAAAGTTGCCGCAGGCCCACTCGTACGTCTCGTGGCACGGACTCTTCGAGGTGTTGGCCCACAGGAGCAGCTGCCGGCTGCTCTCCACGCACTCCTTCTCCAGGCAAAGTGGCGCCCGCAGATAGAAGGGCACCTCCGGCCAGAAGGCCAGCAGCAGGATGATGATCAGCAGGAGCAGGGCGCACAGGCAGGCGGTGGTCACGTACAGGATGCGCCGCTTGCGCGACAGGCTCATCAGCGCGTCGAAGGATCGTCGACCTGGAAGCAGCAAGGCTATCATCGGGCAATGGCCAAGGATACGAAAAACATGAGTATTAATGAAATGAGAATGCAACACTAACTTAAAATATACATGCAAACACTTAAATTTGCTTAAAACATTACATTTGCATCCATTCCTAATTGTTCCGCTAAAATATAAAATATACTATTTATCTCAGCAAACATTTTTTAAATATTTGTTCAATTGTTATGGCCTTTATAAAACTTTTTAGAACGAAAAACGCTTTACTTTTCAAAAACTAATAACCATGATTTATTAAATAGACAAATCTTCTTATTAATTTTTATATATTATAAATATAATTTGAATTCTTGAACGTATCAGTATAAGTTTTTTCACTGATCAAATTGTTTAGCCCACCAAGAAGCTTTGATGGTTCAAAACTTTTTGTAAAATTGCTAAATAAATTAATTTTTAGGTAACATATAACATATATTGTTAAAAATAACAAAAATAGATAAAGCTGCTTTTCAAAAATAATCAAATAGGCATTCAAAAATCAGCTTGAATTGAAGATATTTTTTAATCCTCAATCTCAAGCCACATTTGCTATGCTTATTAAAGTTATTTTTGATATCTAGTAGTGGTTTATTATTTCAGAACTACGGTTTTATTTTATTTAATTCGGACTACTATACCATATAGCTGCCATAGGAACGATCGAGTTATGCATAATGCAATAATATAAAATATCTCGATATATAGTAATGGCTTACAGTTTCAGAATTACTGGTTTAAATTTATAAAAACTAATTTAACATTATGCAACAGCTGTGAGGGTATATAAACTTTGGCTGTTTCAAGTTTGCTTCCTTTCTTGTTTTAAATTTTACACATTTGACATTTAATTTAATAAGGTAGGTTTGTTTGAAATAAAAAACAAAGTATTCTTTAATTTTGTTTATGCTTCAGCTACACTCTGTCTGAACTAAATGATTTTGAATGGAAAATGAATGGATATTGATGACGGATCCTCACCTCGCAGTCCATTGGCCGAGGGATGCGTGGAGTTGGGTGTGATCGCCGCTGGAGTCCTGCCGCCGGCTCCACCGCCACCTGGCACCTCGTTAAGGGCATCCTGTCGCGCCGCCTCCAGATCCTTGGGCGTCAGATGGGAGCCGTCGTCCATGTGCAACTTCTGCTGATTGGTGGTCAGCGGAGCCGTCTCGCTGCCCTCGATCTGCTGCAGCTGCTGCTTGCCCCCAATCTCGTCCTGGCTGTTGTGCAGCTTAAAACTGCGATCATCCACCTCGTCGATGGCGCAGATCGTCGGCTTGTACTTGCCCTGATTGATGGCCATTTTGGATGATATTCCCCTCGATTTTTCCCTAGCTGGTGCTAGTCGCCTCTCGCGGATCTCTTCGTGTCGTCTCCCCCTTCAGTTCAGGTGGTTCGGCATTTTTAATCAGTAAGTAGGTAGCTCTGCAAGTGAAAGAGAGAATACAACAAGGAAATCATTCACTATTTCTCAATGCGAAAAAATACACCGAATTCCAGACGGCTTAACCGTCTTGATAATCAAAAGATTACCTTGAGACATGATATACGGGGCTATACGCTCGTAGACCCCATACACCCAACCACCCATCTACCTCTGGCAATAAAGAAACCTTTCGTTATGTGGAGCATCGGAGATAAGTGAAAATTGCCCAGAGATAGCAGCCACTTGATGTCTCAGATAAACAGCTGCGGTCAACAAAATGGCACTAAATAGTTGTTTAAAAAACGTATAATTGTGCAAATATATTTGTCTTATTGCCTGATTTAAAAATGTTATTATTATTTTTTGTAAGCATTGTTAAATAATTTAAATGTGCAAGTTCAATATTTTGTAATCAAGTATTGTATATGTTGTTGCGTTTGTCATTCCTTAAATATTAAAAAAAAAAAAAACAATAAAAGTTCGGTAATTAAAAACAAATATTTGACATTAGATTTTACAATGATATGTGGGGTACACTTACAATAAATTATTTATTTTAAATTATTATAATTATATTACAAGATACACCGCCAACTGTTTCAAGGCGAATAAGTACATAAGATCGGCAGATATATATATCTATCTTTAAGCGCATATGTGTTGCATGCATTCTTGTTCAACATTTGACTTCTTTTCAATTTTAAATTGACAACAATTGCTGGCAATTTGCACTGGCTAAAGTCTTCGACTGGCAAAAATATATATCCGAATAAGTGGGAGCGAGAAATCCAAGAGAAAGGAAAAGAGACAGAAAGTCATTTGTCTGGAGCTTTATTTCGCGACAAGCATAAATTTCTATTGAAAGACGTGCAAATAATTAAAAATGCAGCGGCGTCTCAGCAGTCCTAAAAAATTCAACTAGGTTAATTGGTAATTGCACGAAAAATCTGTCCAGCCAATTAATTTAAGATTTTTGGTATTCTTTAAAGAATAAATATTTTGGAAAGTTTAGAGCTTTAGAACTGTAAGGAATAAAGAAATATTACTAGATTGACTGGGAATTGTTGTGAACATTTTTTAGGCCATGTATTATACTATTTTTAAGCCTTGTTCTGCATTTTGTTACAGATGGATTGGACTTATAAATTGATATGGCACGATCTTTAAATGGTATCTATTTGAATTGGTATGCTGCTTTAGTTTCGCTTCGCCGACCGACAGAGGGCGTCACTTGCCTTTGTTTCATTGTGGTTATGCTAGACTTGAAATAGTTTTTCCAGCTTTTGTTTTCCCTGTGAAATCGTATAGCATGTTTGTCATTTAATCCGCGAGGAAAGCAGCCAATTCACCCACACAAAAAAAGGGGAGGCAGCAGGTTAATTATGAAACTGCAATGCACGCGAGAGTTTATGAAGCGCAATTTGAGCATCAGCACATGATGAGCAGCTTGCATGGCTGGCAGGTTCTGCTATACATTTTTCATAAATAATTATTTACTAATATCATTTGTATGCAAATTTGGTTATTTGATTCAATAATAATGATGGAATTCTCTTAAAACCATTATTGTGAAATACTTATAATAAAATAGATATAAAGCTTGGAATTCTCTCAAGTTCACATTCATTCTTTTTTTTATTATGGTTTGGTAGGCCAGCTCTAATCTCTTTCTATATAAATGTTATCTGTTTTTGAAAAAAGTCACCTAAGATTACTGTTTTGTGAATCATAATTAAATTTAATTAAAAGAACCTTCAGCGCAATGGCATTTTAAAATTTCCGATATTCAATCAAGATTATATTTTTCAAGCCCCTGCTAATCTCTAGAGCCCCAAAATAGCGATAAGTTGTGGTCAGTTTTGAGGATCTGGCTAAAAAAAAATAGTAAGGGAAATAGAACGGAAAAAGAGCAATGAAGACTGCTATTGCTTATCTTATCGAGTTGAGATTATTGCCTAATACATTGCTCATTCCTAGGCGTTGCTACTAAGACCTTCTCCCCGTTTCTGCCCCTGATAAGTCTCACTTTTATATATTTCACGGTTAGCACAAATCAATTTTGTAATATTCTTTAAGATTATTTTGTAGGTTACTTAAGTGTTTAATTAAAATATTAAAACGAACTTTTTGTAGGGAAAATTCGGTACCTCATAAACAATTATCTTTGTATTATCTTGGACTTTATCTGCCTAGCCTAATATGGCCACTTGAAGAGCTGAAGGTTGCGAAGGGTTGGGTGTTACTCTGCTGTCTCAGGTTGTTGAGTAATGCTGAGAGAACACTTAACCCCATACAACTTAGAAACTATATTAAGCGATAAGATCTTTAAAAGAAGTCGCATAAAGATAAATCTGAATGACACACTAAAAGAAGCTATGATTTAATACCCATATGGACAGAGTTTTCAATGAAAGAGAACCAAAATTTTAAGTGCACATTAATAATTTAAATGATTTTAAAACCATTTTTCCTTGCTCACATTCCATCTGTTATCTTGTAAACAATAAATACCAGGGAGTTTTATGTTGTTTTATGCTTCCGCATAATTGAATCGAAATTTCTATTCTCACTTTCAACCCTTTTTGCTAGTCATATTTTTGCAAACTTTTTAAGTTTTTTTTGTGCGAAAACGAGTTGTATTTCTCAGTTTTTATGGGCCACTTAAGCGGCTCAAAGAACTTTTGCCGCTGTGGCAAATTTTCAAAAAAGAACAAACTATTGGGGACACACGCTCCATATGTGCAGCAGTAATACAAGCCCCAAATAGAGCTCCATTTCATCGGTCTTTATCAAGTTGCAATTGCTTTGATTTTGCTTTTTTTTGTCAGAAGTCTGATTTATGCTTATTTGGCTTGATTCGATTATGGGGTCGCAGGGGGGTGATGATTACAAAGCCGACTTAAGCTGAAACTGAAGCAGAGTTTGTCTCAGCCACTAGAAAATATTAAGAAGCTGCGACGTCATTTAGTATGGGGTGGATTCTGTATTATTATTCTTATTCTCGAGCGAAGCGCAATTGAAAGTTGAGACGCAGTTCGATTGGGGATGTAAAGATAAGTGAAGAGGTGTGGAAAATTCCCTGGGAGTCGGAGATAAAATGACTTCAATAAAAATCTAAGCATTGAAGGGGGAGCTCAATGAAAGTGCGAGTCAGCGGTTGTTTTTTTTTTTTTTGGAAAAGAATCATTTTTGTTTCGTAGAAAATGAATCTCGCTTGTAGGTATCTTTCTCAATACCTAAAATATTTTTAACAGGCTTCTTTGGCAAACAGACTTGTTCAATTTACACAAGACATTTTTCATTTGACAAAATTTTTTAAAATAGAATTGTCATCATTACAATTAAGAGCCAATACATATATCATTACAGAATGAAATGAAGATATTATTTATTCTCAGCATATGTTTTGAATTCACTTTTCGGCTTTAATATTTCCGCTCCCCGCCTTCGTAAAAATCGGTGTTTCTTTTGTGGATCCAAAAAGTGACTTTCCCCTCCTATTTATTTCCTTTCCAGTTCGGGTTACGGTTACCATATTTGAACATGGCAGGCGCATAAATCATGACCGACCATATAAATCTCAACAGATAACAAACAAAAAGTAAAGATAGATAGGGAGGGCCCATAAATTTGCTGACCAGTTTGGCAGGCATTAAAAAATAATACTGGGAATTATAAAATCATACTTTTCGCCTTATTCTGACAATTTTGACGTGCGCTAAACAGATATTAGCCATACAAAATAGTACAGGGAATTATAAAATCAATTTGACTTTGTGGCTAATTGAGTGTGGCGTATTTTGACAGCGATTTGTTCACCCAACCCGCCGGGCCTAATTTATATATTTTTTGTTCCCCGCTATTGACATTTAATTTGAGTTAATGGCACGTCGATCGTCGCTTGTATTATCATGAGTGTTGATTGGGCAGCTTTGGGTGCGATGATAGCCTTGTCGCACCCCCGAAACCACCCACCACCCAACGCAATCAGTTGTTAAATGTGTCAACAATTTGTCGTCGACTAGTCGAAGCCACTAAAAAGTCGACAAATTGAGAACTGCAGGTCGAGGGGAAACAGAAAATGTTTGCTTATGCAACTTCGCTTTCGAACGAGCAAACACTCTAAACATGAAAATGTAATTAATTGAGCCGGCAGAAAATGCTTACAGCTATTTTGCACAATCAGTACAAACACAATGAGTAAAAGCTTAAGCTGCATTTTTGGTTATAATTTACTCGATTTTAGTTTTTAGAGTAGCACTTTTTTTAAACATCAAAAATTTGGAATCAACTGTTTTGAAATTCCTAAAATAATAACTTATAATAACTTTTCATGATCTAAAAAGAGGATTATATTGATTTTTGGAAGACTAGTCAAAACTACTTTAAATTTATTATAACCTAAGAAACTGCATAAAATCATATTTTATTAACCAAGTCGGTGAGTCATTTAGCTAAGCTATCTCTTTCCGATCCTAGCTTCCGTATTCAAAACCCACTCGAGCGCAAAGTTGAAACCGTAAAACGTTTAATGGAAAAAGGTGCGGTTAAGGTTAGCTTTTCGATTGTTTTATTTTTTGCTCGGTGAACAAAAAAAGTGCGTAACGAGCGACGCGGAGACAATGGAGAAGTGCCGAATGCGGGCGGAGGTAAAAAAGAAAGGTACAAAATACGGGGGAGTTTTGGGGATTCAGTGGGCCCAATTTGGTTTCGAGCGTGAGCATAACAATGGGGTCTACAATACAAAAAAAAAAACAGCGGGTTCACTTGCACATGTTCAAAATGCAATTCATAACGGTAATCCAAAAAAGAAGTGGGACAAAACGGAAGCAGAGGAAAAAAAATACAAGCACCATTAAAAACCATCAATATTGGTGTGGAAAATGGTAACAGGAAGCACTTAAAATTATATAATTATCGGCAAAATAAAACAAAAATGAACTAAAGCATCAACTTTTATACATACAAGATTCAATTATATTCAGCTATTTAAACTTTGAAAATAATAACCATGAGATACAATAACATTGTTCCTTACTTTGTAGTACCTTAACTTTTGTTGATTTAATTCCTATATTCTTATAGATTTGTTTTACGTTTGTGGATTACGACAACTGAATATTTCCCAATCATGAGGTAAAATCTAAAGATTCCTGCCCAAGATCAAGGTGATTTACGGTTTACTCAATGTCACGGCTAATAATCGCTAAATTATGATTTGTTGTTGTTTTCGGGACGTGCTGCACTTCTCTTCCTCTTTCTCCTCTGCCAACGTCAACGTTCTTACGCATTAATTACGGGAATTTTCGGAAACAAAAATAAAAGAATTGACACGCAGGCGCAACACACACACATACACGTTCACAAGCGCATTCAGGGGGGAAGGAGAAGGAAGAGATTGAAAAAGAGAGAGCGACACAGAATTGTCGTTATTGCTGTTTATGCGATTACACGAAAAGAGATCACGATGTTCTATTCAACAACATAAAAAATATGTATTCGGTATTGCAAGTTAAAATTCCTCGAAACAATATTTGCAGCCAAGATAAAATAAATTATCATAAATTTCGTTGAGTCTTAAAATAAATCTCCTTAAAACTGAAGCCATATTTGCTGTTTTAAGAAGAAGTACCCGTTCTTGTCCATATCATTAATAACACCCAAACAATGTTTGTGCAAACAAACGCTATTTGAACATCATTTGTCGCAATTAGGTGACAAAATTCGTGATCGTAATACCGATCGACGTGAGAACGAAGTATCTGATCGTTTTTTTATTTTCTTTTTGTTTTTGCTCTGCCACTTGCAAAACCGGTTCTACCGGCATTTCATACACACAAACACACACACACTGCGACACTTTTCCACCTTCGAACAACAACAAAAAAACGGTGGCTTGAAGTGCGCTTACATTTACTCTCACCCATGCACACACACACGCACACACACACACAAGATGGGAAATTCCTTTAATGCAGAAGGAAAATCGCTGGATTTTACCTTTTTGTTTATAGCTCATTTAGCATTCCGAAATTTTAGCATGGCGCCACGATTAAAACAGATATTTGAATTTCCGAAACTCACACTCGAAAAAAAACAACAAAACTCACAAGCGCGGATTTTTGGAGAATTGCTTTGAATTTTTACGCGCTCTGCAACAACAATAAGCGAATAAGCCGCTATGTTCGCCTCTCAATGAAAACAGGGTTGTCCTGGTTTTTTTTTTTTGATTGTAATAATATTTGTATTTGTGTTTTTGGTTTAAGTTTTTTTTGTTCGTAGTTTTTCGCGGCGATGCAACGATTTCTTATTTTTAAACGGGGAACGACGGAAAGCAAATGATTGCAGTTAAATCTAGAGGTGACAAAACGTCGATGGTATAATCGATGACATCGACGGTATGTTCTCAAGAAATCGGTAATATCGAAAGATGTTGTGCTTTCTCTCACACTTTGCTAACTGCGGAGTATGTCTTCGCTATCGGGGGTATGTCTTTGCTACCTGGAATGTAATTATAATTTAATTTAACTACATAAATTACATCTGGACTCCGTTTTATTTTACTGATATGTTTTTTGTTTCTAAAATGTACCAGCGTTGCGTCTTTCAGCAATAAGAGTCAAAATCAGTGGTTATTGCTAATGGAAAAGAAATTGACACGACATATTTATTAAATATAAAAGAAATAAAATTAATATGAAGTGAAACAAACTTTGACTTAAACACAACACCTCTCGGGGCTAAATCAGTACCGAAATTATTTAACTCAAAGTGTAAGTGTATTAAAACACTATGTTTATCTCTGGGTGTAGATATGCAAACATGTTTTAACTATTTTGTTGCTATGTTTGCTTAAGAAATGAATATTCCTTTTGCTGCTAAAATAAAATAGGTACAAAAGTTAAAAAAATACTTTTTTAAGGTTGCAAATTTCTCCTTTCCCAAAACATTGTTTTTGCTGTTTTCCTTTTGAGCTAAGCTTTTTCCCCCTATAAGTGGGCTTTTCTTTCAAATTGGGACTAACAAAATGTTGGTTGGTAATGGTGCGTAATCTAAAATTTCCCTAAAAAAGTTCAACAACAATTATGTTGTTTTTTTTTATATTAGTTCAAAGTATCAATATTTTTTTAGCCCCCTATTTTATTTGGATGGTTTGTATCTGTTATCTATACAAAAAATATACTATAAATAGTGGTTGGTAAGGGTAGTAGGAATTCCCAAATTACTTTTTATAAAATCGCTGTTAGTTATAAAAAGCTAAACACAGTTTGGATGTTTTAGAACAACATTTTATGTTTTGTATATCGTATTTTAAGCTTAATTCTAAACTTTTATTTTTTTTTCCAACCCACTATTTTATTTGGAAGTATATTTATCTATTATCTAAAAAAAAAACATACTATAAATAAAGTTTATTGGCTTTTAATGGTGCAAGATCTAAAATTAATGAAATAGCGCTGTTAATAAAAGATTAAAACAAGTAAAATATTTTTAAGAACAATATTTTTTGTTTTTTATATCATTTCTTGAGCTTGATTCAAAACTTCAATCTTTTTTTCCAACACCCTATATTACTAGCAAATAAGTTATCTATTAGTTATATATACTATAAATAACTAATTTTAGTTTATAATGTGACAAGATCTTAAATTGCCTTAGCTAATAAAAGCTGATCCCAATTGAAACTTTTTTGGAAAACATTTTATATTTTGTATATTGTTTAAAGTCGTTTATTGAAGGAGGGCAAGATCTAAAATAACTTTAAAAATTGCCTTGTTAGCCATAAATTGCTGTACACAATTTTCATATTTTTTAGAACATCTAGAGTATATCGTTTCCTGAGCTTCATGCAAAACTTCAACCGTTTTTTCCAACCCCCTATTAACTTGGAAGTGTGTTATCTGTTATCTGAATAAGAAATGTACTATAAATAAAATATGTTGATTGGTAAGGATAAGATCTAAAATTATATTAAGCTGAACACAATTTAAAATTTTTTACATATTATAAATAATATACTTGTATATCGTTTCTAGCTTCCTATTTTCAAATAAATATGTTATGTTTTTTATGTTTGTGTTATCTTTATAATACCACAGGAAAAAGTCCGTTTTCCTTAAAAAAAAGTTTTCATTTTATGAACTGAATTCCAAAAAAAATCTTAATTTTATCCTCCGATTGGAATCAATTTGTTGGGGTTGCAAATTCCTCATTTCCAAGAATTTTTTTTCATTCATGTTTCTTTTAATGGATACGTTTTTAGGCTTTAAGTTGCCAATTAAAGTTGAGACTTCAAAAAAGTGCTCAGTAAGGGAGTGAGATCTATAAATACCTACATTTTATAGCACCGTTGGCTATGAAAAGCTGGACACAATTTAGATCTTTTTAGAACAACACTTTATGTTTCTTAAATCGTTTCTTGGCGTGTTTTTGCGATCTGTCTCTCGCTAGTATGAACTGATGTCTAAAAGAAACAACATATTTTACATATTAAAAAATGTGATTTTTTATTGAACATTCTTTTTTCTTTGCAAAAATGTACTGTTGGACAATAATAATATTTAACAAACATAGTAACCTTTGACCTAAAAGAGAGTGGATTTGTTTGAAAAGAACCAAAGCATTTGACATTTGACAAAAAGGTCGCTAAAAATGGCTTTTTTTACAAGCGGAGATTCTTACCACCAAGCCACCTATGGGAAAAATCAGAAATTGAAGCGCCACCTTTACATCAAATAAGCGTAAGCGCCGCCTATCTCTCATTACTTGAATAGACGCTGCTAGGTGGCGCCACTGCTTTATCGATTATTTGTGAAATTGTAGTTTGGTGGCGCTACTGAAAGCCACTCACAAGAACAAAAATCATAAAATAGTACTGTCGCCACCTATCAGCGCCTATCAAGGACATCCACAAAATAAAAATACAAAAAAAGGACTAATTAAGCAATAATACTGGGTCGCGAATTCACAGCTTTTCATGTGTTAAAGGATATTTTGGGAATTTAAAGAAACCCTGGGAAATTTCTGTTTTTGGTGGAAATATTTTGTAAGCTTACTAAAATGAGTAAACCGATTTTGTGGGAAATATTTTCCTTGTCTCAAGTTTAGCTAAAATTTGATACAAATCCTTTGAGAGCTTTAAAAAAAAGACAGCTTGTAGCGTAATCTTCCTCAATTACTGTTAAGACTTAGTTAGATATAAATTAGCCAGATACGGATTTTTTTTAAATATCACCCAGTGGAAAATCAATAAATCAATAAAACATACTTTCAAAAAATGTAAATAAATTTAAAGAACACTTAATTCAATATTAGATTGAATTAAATATATGGCATTGAAGTTGTTTTTTGTCATTGTTTATTTCATCGCATGATTCGCTTAACTTCTAGGTTACAGGTATAGTATACAGCTTGATTCGGGTTAGGATCTACAGCCTAGACCTAGGTTCTACTGACAGGTTCAGGTATAGATTAGCTTTAGTCACAGCTCGGCGCAGCTGGCTGGCTGCTGCCCTCGTGCCTCTCGTGCCGCTTTTACCTCCAAGAACGCCTCGATCACTTACTAACTAATAAATGCATTTCGCCTCCGGTACGTTTTCAACTTGATTCCACACTTCGTTTGGGAATTCTTCTCCTGGTTTTCTTTTTCCTAATTTCTAATTTCTAAAATTTGTAGTTGGTAAATTTTGCTCTGCTTTCGATGCTGCTTGGAAGTAAAAGCGCTAAAAGACAATTCATAGCTTTAGAAAACAGATTGTTGTACAACAATAGTAAAACAAAACTAACAATATGCAAAAAAAATATGGAAAACTATAAATAACATTGAACCAGTTGGAATTATGTACAATTCGAATTCCTGACATAAATAAATAAATATACATTTAAATGCAACTTAAATAAATCGGCCCTCGACTTATAACCTACTATATATTATATATATATATATATATGTATGTATATCGGTTTATGCACGTATATAGATAAATGCACAACAAACGAAACAAATTCGAGCACATTGGCAACCCACAAAGCACTTGGCAACTAAATCCTACTAATACACGGCACGGGGAAGGAAAGGGATGGGGAAAGGATAATAGATGTGGGCTGTTGTGGATATGGATGTGGATAGGATCGCCTAGGATCCTAGTCGATCACCACCGACCACGGATGGTCCACGCGGCCGTACTGGATGTCGGTGAGGGACTCGCGGATCAGCTCGTGCACGGGCTTCTCCTGCTCCATGGTGGGTATGTACAGGTCCTGGCCGAGGTAGTTGATGCGGTTCACCGGACTGACCACGCACGCCGTTCCCGCTCCAAAGAGCTCCAGGAGCTGTTCAAGTGGGGATCAATCCAAATGAGTTATGTGCTTACGAGAAGTGAATTCTATCTGTGATCACTTACCCTTCCCTGGTTGAGGAGCTCGCAGACCATGGGCATGGTGATGGTCGCCTCGCTCACCTTGAACTTGCCCCACTGGCGGGTCATGCGCAGGATGGAGTCGCGGGTGATTCCGGGCAGGATCAGGCCACTCAGCGGCGGGGTAACCAGTTCTTGTTCTGAAAATGGCAATGGACACACAAATTGGTTAAATACTTTATAAACAAAAATGTATCTTAAAAATGCGCAAATAAAAAAATCTGGATTCTCAAATCGTTCTTGGTACATAACATATAACAGTTAAATATTAAAAAAAATTAAATAAATTAAGACTAAATTGAAGCCTCTACACTTAAATTACCACCAAATGAATGTCAATTGGTGTTTATTGTTTTAAGAAACATTGCTCTATGTGGCTATCACTTTTAATATGCGGAATAAGGAATTTAATAATTAAGTAGTTACATTTTTTCAAAAACATATAGCCTTACTAATTTTCATGATTTTTAAAAATTTAAATATACTGAAAAAATATGCTTTATAGGGTCGAAAACGCGTTAATTTACCTGTCAACGAATCTATTTAGAACTTAACATTTTTAGATCACAAAACTGAGCATTTAAAAAGCCTTAAAAATAAATAATAATAAATAAAAATAAAGAAAATGCCTACCTCCTTGATCGTTTACGTAGAACATGAAGATGTTCATGGTGCCCACTTCGGTGAGCTGGTGATCCTCGCCGTAGAGCCACAACACCTGCTGCAGTCCCCTGGCCGCCGCCTCCTTCTGCACATTGATCGTGGGTGCGTAGTTGGAGCCCATCTTTCGGTTGCCCACACCGCCTGGCCAGGCACGAACATAGCTGGGATCGGCCAAGAGGGAAACGGCACCGGAGGAGCCCGTCTTGAAGTAGCTGCCCACCGGACTGAGGATCGTGTAGAGCAGGGCCGAGTCCGAAGAAGCCACTCCCAGTGTGGGCTGTAAGTTGGAACAACCAGGGATTAGTCAAGTGAGCGAGATATACTTGTATAGTATGGTTTACATTTTGTCCTTTTACTGTGCTGTTGCAAAAGCAAAGCCAAAGCAAAAATTGGGAAATTTCGAAGACATGTTTCGAGCTTTATATTAATCAATTCAAAATCAAAATTGACTGATTTTTTTCGCTCAGTTATCCTGAACATGTGAAATTTGCTGTAAAAATGTTAATGTTTTGGCTTTGCTTCTGAAAGTTCGAAATGCTTTGCTTTCAAAGTTCGAAGCAAAAGCAAAATCAAGTGAAATGCTTTCACAGAAAAGCAAAGCAGGGCAAAGCAAAGGAAGGCAAATATGTTTGCTTTTGCTTTGCTTTCATTTAATACGTTTATCGAGATCTTAGCAAAAGCACAGCAGAGATTTAGGTGCTTTTGCTTGCTTAGACACAGTTTTTCAATATCTGGCACTATATACTCACATCAATGCCGATCAGTGTGGGGCGGATGTACAAGCTGGCGGTGTCCGTGTGGGGAACCCACTCGGAGTCGATGGAAATCAGGCGGGACAGGCACTGGACGAACTCCTTGCCCTCGAAGGTGGGCAGACCGGAGCGCTGGGCGGCGAGGTTCATGCGGTTCATGTTCATGTCCGGCCGGAAGATTCGGATCTTGCCGTCGACGCCGCGGTACGCCTTCATGCCCTCGAAGAGCTGCAATGAATGGGAAACGGCATAGAATTGATAAGACCACAACATGCCAACATGGCATCTTAATACGCCTTCTTACTATATACTAAATGCACTCGGGGATGACGTCAGCCCGTGGGCCACACGTGCGACTTGTTTACAGAGATTACGGCTTGCGGATTACGGGTTGGAACAAGGGGGATGGAAGCAAGACAACAAACCGCTCTCAAGTCACGTAAAAAGCTAGCGAATTCGATTCTTCTAGTTTAACCCCTAAATGTGGATTTATGTTTCTAGAAGACATCATTAGGGTTTCATTACTTTTTAGTTAAAGAATTATCTTTTTGGAGCAAAACAAGCAACACTTTGATTTTTAAAAGTTAAAGGATAGTTTTAGAGTGGGATAATCTGAACTGAACTGAATGATTTATTATTGACTTGTTTTATGATCTTTTCATAGATCTGGATTGAAAGTGGCGCCCAATTGGATTTTCAATATAGGAAACTCCTCAGGAAAATAAGCTTCTTTATAGAAAATAAGTTAAACTCGATATAGGTTATGCATTCAGTTAAGTACTGAGTAATGGGAGTAATGGGTTTCCGGAGACTTGGCTTACCTCAACGGCGTAGTGCAGCACCTTGGCGGCCGGATGCATGACCAGGTTCTCCAGCGGCGTGATCTCCGGTCGCTGCCATCCTCCGAGGCTCTTGTGGTAGTAGATCTTGAGCATGTGATCGGTGAAGAGGCGGCCGAAGCCCAGCTCCCCATCGTTGTCCGGCTTGGGCTGCAGTTGCTCCGGAGCGGCCAAACGCACGGATAGCTGGGAGGCGCGGAACTGGTGGCCCAGATCCTTGTCGTGCTTCACGGGCTCCGGTGCACTGGTGTACTGGGCATCCACCGAGGCGGTGATCTGGAAGTCCGCCGCCGACTTCTGTTGCTGCTGCTGCTGGGCCGCTTGGGCGGCCTTCAGCGACTGGTTGCTGCACAGCCGGATCGACTGGGCGATGAAGCGGATCAGACGGTGCTGGTTGCGGAAAATATCCTGCAAACAAATCAAAAATGCCTCATAAGCAACATTCAAAAATAATATTTCGAAATATTTTCAAAAATATTTCAAGCTGTATTTAAATGAACTAAAAAATAATGGATGTATCTATAAGAATTTAATATGATTTTTAAGCTAAAAAGAAATACATTAATCAAGCTGAATAAATATACTTATTTCATTTACCATTTATAGCTTATAAATTCTTTACAATAAAACAAAAATTTGGATTTGAAAAAATTCAATATCAAACTTAAAAGCATAAAAATAAAGGAATTTAATATATGTATCAAGCAAATTTATTTAAAGCCGACAATTTGGAATATAAGTAGCCTTGTTTATATATTTATAAGTCAAAAACTAAATGTTTTAAATATTATAAAAAAACTGCTTATATATTAAATTAGATTTATTTCTTAAGACAACAATAATAAATATAAAACCAGCTGGGATACACTCAACACAAATTATATTTTCTTAGCCCATTGGTTTAACAAAATAAACGCCATATTTTATTTTAAATTGTTATGTGTTGTAATTATCTATTTGTGAAGGTAAAGTAAATGTACCCGAATTTAAAAAAATCGGAATAGCTACACTGCCCGCCACTGATGATATGCTAATTTGAGTCTAGACCCCAACCGAAATTGCCGAGTTGCCGAAAATGATTTGCACATTAATTAATTTTCAATTTGCAAGGCAGACGATCTTGTTTGCGGGACTTGCACTGATGTAACCCCGGTTTTGGTGTAGTCTACATTCCGGGTCAGACGAGAGTCAGCAGTTTAGATTCGATTCCGGCACGGACTGGAGACAAGAGCTAATCTACAATATTACTTAATTTACTTTATTATATTTCAGCCGATGCCGTTCATCTCTCCTTGACGGATGGCTGATGAAATCCACCAAACTATCGACTAAGCCAAAAAAAAAACCAGCCAGCCCAACGAAAAATACCAAGTTGAAATCTATGGTCGGCATTGCATCAGCCAAAAAAGCTGAACTGAAATACTCAAAAAACTACCAGAAGAGCGCGCTTAAAAACTCGTTCGAAATCGGGCGGTACAGAAGACTCGAATACGTCGTCTGTAAGTCTGCCTGCCTACAACGTTGCTTATCGCGGCGTTTCGTGGGAATGGAAAGTGATAAGAACAGGCCATAAATGTCCAAAATAAAGCATTAATGGGATCTATTTATAAGAGGTCTGGATGGCTGGGAGCGTGTCAGGTTGTTCGAAAAAGTCTGTTAATAAAACAAAAAGCCTGGAGACACTCCATCAACAGTATCCACCGGAAACTTTACGATTCCACCACATTTTATTATAGGTTTTTTAAAATTCGTATTAACACATAATAGATAAAAACATAGCTGATAAGGAAACTATTCTGATTTATGCTTTAATCTAAAATTTGTTCATTGTTCTTATTTAAAGCTTATCAACGAAAAAACATAGCTCCATAGATTCTAAAGTTAAGTCATTTCTAAATCAAGATATATTAAGATATTTTCTTAAAAGTTTTAGATTGATTAGGCAGCGAAATTCTAAATCTAAAAGCTTCATAATCTTTGTTCTTACTAGTGACTTAAAATCAAACATTTATTTTTATTTTAGTCAAATCAGTCAAATGCTAAGCCTTTTCTTTTTTTTTTTAATTTGTCGGATTGATAAAAAAAAAATGAAACGAGCGTCACAATTTGCACATCTTCATAAAAAACAACGAATATAATTTGATTTCAGTCTGTTGCTAGCTTATTAAAATGTAGATTTTAGGACGGCGCTACCGATGGTGATGATGGGCTTTTTTTTGGATTTTTGATTACAAACCTTAGCGTTAATTGCCATTTTGGTTGTCATCTTGTTGGTTTTAGCGTTGGAACTTTCTTTCTCGTTTTTGTTGTGGTATTAAGACTCTCTTCGATGCTTTTAATCGCTCTTTTAGCGTCTCTTGCACTTGCACTTTGCCGCACTTGCGCGAACCGATATGAATTTGTATTTCTTGGTTTTTAATTTAACGGGAAAGGAACTGCACTTTGCACAGTAAAAAAAATTCTTAAGCACACAGTTGCCTTATATTGCGGGTTTTTGATATACTTTCTTTTTTTATTAGGCCTTTCAGCTCGATCTTGACGGCACGAAGTCTCTGCAAGAAATGAGTTGCCGCCACTGATATAGTAATATATATAGCCGATCCACGGGTTGTATGTGTGTGTGGGTGTGGAGTCGTACGATTACCGTTCGAGCGCCATTTTAAGAGCGTAGCGCAGGAAAGGCCGCTAAGAGAGCGGAAGAGAGAGCGCAAGCGTCTACACTGCGATAAGAGTCATATATATTTCAAAATTATAATAAATGGATTTATATATTTTAAATGGAAAAGATTGCCAAGACGATAATGATTGTCTCTTATTTATTTTTGCTTGCATATTTCATTACAGCTCAAATATAATACAAAGGCAAATGACTGACGAAAATGAATAGATGACATTTGGCAATAACTTTTATCACCTTTTTAATAATAAGGAATAAACAAGCCTACGAATGTATGTAACATATATGCCAAGTCTTTCTAGAGAATAAAATAAATTAAATTTGTATTGAAGAAGAGTTTGGCAAATATATATATATAATTATTAAATTTACCAAACGATATGCTCAGACACTTTAAAGTTATTTGATTAATTGAGTTCACCGTTAAAAAATAATACAGAAATCATTGTGTTCAGTAGTTGCTCAGGTCATGAAAAAAATATGTGAAAAAACAATATTTGTTTTTGAACCGAACTGTTTTTAATCTGTGCCCTTTAAAATAGAGTTCATTCCTGACTTGCAACTTGTAATCATTATATTATAGTCATAATAATTATGGGAAAAGGTAAAATCAGGCTAAAAGCAAGTAAGTAAAATAAAAAACGAATAAAATGAATTTTATATTCTACATTTAAATAAAGTAAATTTTGACGAGTGTAGCAAATACATAAGATGCCGAAAATCGAATGTTTTTTCGGTTTGCTCCCATACCGAATCTCTTTGTGCGACTTTGGCTGATTTTCGGGTTTCGTACGATCGATCGATCGGCACTACGTCTTGTTGCTGCCCCCGAAAAAAGGGGGCTTTGGGGGCGGAGATGTTGGGGGGTGGGCCACCATGGGCTGCGTACTTATTTGGGCGCAGCGGTCGGCGATTTCGGCCGGCAGCGTGTTTTTGGTTCTCGTTATTTAGCTGCCTTTTTTTGTTGTTCGGTTTCGTTTTTGCCTCGACAATTTCGAGCAATTATTTTCTGTTGAATTTTTTGCTTTTTTGACATATTTGCTTCGAGTTGAGTCTTGGATTTTTCGATGGCTTCTCTTCTGGTTCTAGTTCTTTGTTTGCGCCGCATGTGTACGTTTCCATTAAAAGTGAGTACACAATGGAATAGGTACTTTTATCTATATATTTATATCGATGAGAACATATATCTATAAACTTAGGTTTGTATCTGTAAAATAGTTAACAGATCAATCAAGGAATAATTTTGATATACAAGTAGTTTTAAACTAGGCCTAACAATTTTAAGCTTTGAGCGGGGACTTAATTACAAATTTGAATGCAAATACATATGCAAAACAGCAGTAATTATTTTTGTGAAAAAAAGTTATAACTTTTTCGAAATCGGTAGAAACAAAATGCATATATTCAACGAATTTTATATGATTACTCTTAAAAAAGTTTAATATTAATCAAAAAAAATTGAAAGACGTGGATTTTTGGATTGGATAATTTGTAATATTTTAAAATGCGATTTATTTAAAAAAATTAAGCCTGTCCAAATTCGATACAAACGAATTGAGTTTGGTGTGGAAAATTACCCTTTTTATGACGCACACGTGGTATCAATATTAGCCACTTCCTCCTTAACTTCCTGCTACCTGGCTTACTTCTTGTTCTTTTTTTACCACGCAAAGCGATTGGGTGGAAAATGTGGAAAACATGACGTGCACGTTTTCGTTTGGTTTTTTATTTTCCTGTTTTCCAGCTCGTAGTTTCCCAACTGATAACGCTCCGGATTTGCTGTGTGTGTTTAACAGATTGTGCAAAACAGATTTGAGAAAGGTAAAAAAAAAACAAAACAAAAAACTAAAAAAAACACACACAAAGTGAATCCCACTATAATCCTAATCCAGGCTGATGCAATATCTAAATCAGCTACATCACGATCAGTCGCTGATAAGAGAAACTCAAGTTTTCTTAGGATTTTTCACGCCATGTAGGCTGTAACTTAAGAGAGGGCAGATCCGGTGAAAGAGATATAGCCTTATATATGTATATTACATGCCTCTCTTGAAATAATTGTAATGCTAGATGCTTCTCCCACTCGCTCTCAACTGGTTGATAAACAAATAAATTAGTGGCTTTCAATGTCAATGGACGAATCTCGAAGCGAGATAGTCGATGGACGTTCCATTTCACTCGGTCACCCGGTGACCAGTTTTCATTGCTCTGTGGTCACTGGGTCATCCGGATATTCATCTTTGTTTTGCAGGCGACCTTGTTAAGGACCCGGCTCTGTTTTTGTTATTACACCTATCTCCAAGGTGAGCATTCACATAGTTCTACAGATAAAGAAATTCAATCACAGTTCTTAACTGGTATTTTAATGTCTGATATCTAATTTTTAAATGTATTAAACATGTCATATTCGAAGATATAATATTTATAAAACCCACTTGTTTTCAGAAAACCATTTCAATTTACCAGGTTTCATTTTGGACTTGTTTAAATAATATATGTTTTTATCTAGACGTTAATTTCAAACATGTACTTATTGCTTAACTCTGTTATATCTATATTATATATTATTTTATTATATATTTATTTAACCTACTATAAATCGTTTTTTTAAGGCAAAATTTTAGTATTGAATGTTTTTTTTTTTTTTATAATAATTTAAATTTTATTAGGGTGTATTGTTGAAAACAATATCGAAATGAAAAACGTAACAACCAACTAATTTGCGACGGATTTTTGAGAGTGATCAAAACAACAACAGAAGCAAAGGAAAAAACAGCCTGATAAAATAAACGATTTCCAGCGAAATACGTAACGAAGCCACAAGAAACACAAACCAGTCAAGGTATCGTTCACTGGCAGAAAAATAGTGGTTTTTGGGTGGGGTAGCGTTCAAATCACTTCCCATCGGCACATTACATTATAATTATCTGGCTTGTAAAATGAGAGCAAAAGTCATTGAACCATCTGCACTGCTTCCACTGCTTACATTGTTTTTGCGCACGATCAAGGACGCTTTAAAAGTCTGCGTATATATATGTATATGTGTGTGTGTGTGTGCTTTTGTATCTGTGAGATGGAGGGGTGTGTCGCGTATCTCACTCACTGTGCGAGTGTGTGCGTGTGTTTTGGAGGCCCGTTCGCTGAAACGGGCCCACTTTTCGTACAGTCACAGATACAGATACAAACACAGATGCAGATACATACAGCTGTGGGCAAAATAATAGTACTTCCTGGCTTTCGAAGACACAGTTTTTTAGTATTTAATGTAGAATATTTAAAAGATATGCAAAAAAGTCAACAAGATCTTGAGAAACTCGATTGATTCTAACTTATACGAGTGTTTAGTTCAATAGAAATTAAAGTGTTTTGCTAAATTAAAATAATAAATAACAGGGAATTTATATATACATAGTTTTTAGATACATACAATTAATGCATTTAATTAAAACCAAATTTTGTAACTCCATAAAACTGCTTCTCTTAAGTACATGGTCAATTTGTGCATTAATTTTATTTATTTTTATATTTTATATAAATATATTATTTAAAGCCATGTAAAAATAAATTCTTAAATAATTTAATACTAATAAATACATTTTCCGTGAATCATTTTCCAAAAACTTTTTACAACAAATCTTCACAATATTCTTTAGTATGCAGTTGTTATTAATTTTTAGCTCTTATTGTTTTGCTGTTCGCTGTAAATATCGTTATTGATCGCGTACCAAGTGGCGTATGCGCAATATGTTCGCCTTAACCCCCCCGCGGCCAGTTGGTCACCTTTATTTTTCCCGGGCTTTAGTTGACTTGTTTACACCCTGGCGTTACAATCATTCTGTTATTGTTATTGTTATTGTTTTGTTGATGCCTGATGCCTTTCTGCGAGAGTTTGTTTTCGTTACCTTGACGGTTGACCGCGTCATCCGAGCCCCTTGTTTTTTGTGGTATTTTCGGGTAAGATAATTTGTAAATATTTTCCGCCCTTACCAACGCACACTTTTATCCCACTGTTGCAGTGGGCCTTCCCATTGGTGAATTACGCACTCCAAAAGGGAGCTTTTGGGGGCCAGGGGCAATTCCAGCGGTGACGTCAAATCAGAGTTCTGAGTTCTCGGACCGAGCCGCTTTAATCGCACCCAACTGTGTCGAGGTAATTGCAATTGGAATTGGAATTGGATTGGAATCGATCACGCGTCGCGATCCGTTTGCAGGGAACTCAATACGATTCACTAATTCAAAACACAAAACACAAAACACACTGTGTTGTGCGCTAAAGGGTTCTCGGGGTTCACAGACAACGACAACGACGCAGTTCCAATCGGAAGACCAGTCCCGTCCGATACCCAGCACCAAGTTTTAGAGACTTTATCATAACAAACTATGGAAAATTTGTATGAAATTTTTGTGTATAAAATTTACTAAAGAAAATTTATACAAGCCCCGTTCAAGAAGCTAATTACGGTTATTCCTTTTTATTTTAGATTTATTTTAGTTTTTGTCATTAAGGACTTTCTTTGCATTTCTGTAAGATTGACATGTAAATTTATTAAACAAATCACAATATAATCTAAATAAAATATATAATCGAACTTAATATGTATTATTATTTTAATAAATATAATTTATACATATATTGAATATATTTAATAAGCGAAATTGTTGAAATAATTATTGAAATAATAATATAAGACTCTAATGTCATTCTATAAAAGAAATAATAATCGGAACATAATACACTAACATATTTTAATATATTTACTAAATAAAACAAAAATGATAAGATAGCTATAAGTATTCTGTATCAAAAGTGGAAAAACGAATATATATTGGATAAACATATTAAAGAGAAGGATTACCCGCAACTTAATATGCTGTAATTTTTTTATTTTTAAATGCAAATAAAAAAAAAATCAAAGAGGATCTTCAAACTTTGGGCGAAACATACAGATATTTGCATTTTTGTTTTCTTTGTAAATCCATTTGCCAGGATGATCATATCTCTATGGGGCTTATCGATCCATTGACGTCAGGGCACGGCACAAGCCCACCAACCAAAAAAAAAAAAAATAACTCTGGGCAGTTATCAGCTATCTGCCACTCCCTCGTACGATCACAAGATACACGTTTCCGGGGCTTTGGCTGTCAGCAGCACCGCCCAGTCCCACCCACCCGACACTAAAAGCGAAAAAAGATACAGATACGGATACGGGAGCAGATACAGATACAGATACAGGAGCACATGATCGCGATCGGCTAGGCGGGTTGATGAATGCGGTTTTATCGCCACACACCGCCAGATACAACCGCCCCATCCCCGAAAAACAATCATTCACGGCCAAACAACAATGATAATGATAAGGTATTTAGTCATTCAATCATCCGCTCTGATTACGGATCCGCAAGTCATCCTGGGATATGAATACGGATGTCGAATGGCGGTAATTGGTCAGGCGATTTCTCTGATTTATTTGCATTTCCCTGCGAGCGGCTCTTACGCATTGCAAATTTAACTCGACATTTATTAGGCAGTTATTTATTTTTGTCATTCGAATGTGTCTTATTATGATATTCTTAATTCGCATTTCTGGGCTTGTTAAGTGAGATCAAATAGTCCAAAACTGCTAGAGAGTGGTTATGATATTTGCTTTTCGTTTAGCAAAAAAATTTAACAATCCTTTGACATGCGTAGTTAGAGTCTTCTTATATTAAATTCTAGATTTATTTTTATAATAGTGTGTTTCCTTAAGCAAATTCAAATATTAGGAAGCATTGGGTTCTTAAATATTTGTAGTCAACATTTAATGAACAACCTGAGCTTAAATGATGAACCTGGCAGTTAAGCTGAAAGTTAAAATGCAAATCCAAATCAATTGAAAACATATTACAATTTGTGATTATAGATAATATAAGCTGAGCAAATATTCATGAGAAATTTCCTTTAAATGTAAAAAAATCCAAAGAGAGATCATTGGTCTGGAAAAAATCGCTTATTAATATTCGCTCTCCATATTAATGGATTAACTTTTGGTCAACACATTGCTGTGAAAATTCATATGTACTGTGATATTTATGGTGTCTGAAAATGGTGGGCGTAGTCCAAGTGATTTATTTGCTTACGCTAGCTTTCTTTATTTTCTTGTCCGCATCTCAGAACACATTTTTTACTGCTCAAGGTCCCAGGCCCCTTCAGAATTTTCACTGCCGATCTTTGGCATTCAAAAATAGCGCAATGCGAACAAACGAAGAGTTGCGATTCTAGGAAAAAACTGAATTTCTGCTGTTTACCAGCTGCCTCGACTATCTCTCTAATTGATTTCATTTCTTTTCGCTTACGTTTTTTTCAAGGTTGGGGACGGTACCAAAAAAAAAAACTCACGAATATAGATATTATATACAATAAAAAAAAAGGAACAGCAAAACTGCCACAATCATAACGTTTTACGATCTTTTTTTAACGATCGCTCTTTGTGGCTCAACTCGTGACTAACTCGCGTGCTAAAGACATGCCCCCATTTCGTTAAAGTTGCCCAAAAGGAGTAAGATACAAACATGGGCTGATTTTGGAAGATTCGTATTTACTATACACTATACATGTACATATATCTTTTTTGATGGCGTGTCTGCGACACGTGTGGCTCTCCAAGTCGAAAATAAAGGGAACAACATGAATATACCAGAAGTGTATGTATTTGTTTTCATGCTCAAATAAACGACTCTTTTTGTATGAGTTCTTTCTGTTATAAAGCTTTTACTTTTTGGCCGGCTTTTGTTGCCGCCATCCGACACTTGTAGGGTATTTGCAGGGAGTATAGGGCAGTATACACAATAAAAGGACTAATTAAGAATGGTAATTATTTTCCTAGTTTTTTAATAGTTAATTTTTTCTGGTATATAGGGTTTCTGCAAAGCTGAAACTCATTATATGTGATTGATTTTCTCTTATATAAAAGTAAAGACAACTAAGATTTTGCAATATAAGTGGCTTAAAACCTTTGTTCCTAGAAGTGTAGATTTTATTCATTAGTATTTTAACTGTTAACTAGATTTGGTAAAGAAACTTTAGGGGTTACCATGAATATGACGTATAAAAAAAACTGCATGATAATAACCGGAAATACAAAAAATTCTTGTATTTCCGTTTCTCCAAACATAGTCTACTTTTGAGCTATACCCTCAATAGGTGTCTTCCACTTCCACTGAGCACCAACTAGTTGATCATATTCTTGCGAATCTCTCGCCATCAAAATTTATGCTAAAGAGTTACACACACACCCACCTTTTGGCGGAGTAACAATTTACTTGCGCGTGGCTGCCCGGCATTCGAATTATAGCACACAAAAAAAAATGTGTAAAAAAAACCCTAAGCCAACAGAAACGAATAACACGGCACACAAAAAAATGTGCCTAGCTGGCACAGTCAGTCACTCCATCCGCCAATCCGTCAATCCGTCGGATCGTCAGACTATAGTGCCCAATTTAAATGCTATACATAGACACCGAAACACCACCAT